GTCCTGGGGGAGGGCGTCCAGGCTGGGCCTGGAAGGTGGCGGCGCACCTGGAGAGTGGAGAAGCGCAGGCCCTCTGAGGGGCACCGCTGAGCTGGGACTGGTTTCTGCAACCCTCAGCGTCCTCCCGACCCTTGAGAAGAAACCAGGCTCTCCCGAGACTCAGTTCTGCGGGCGGGGCCCGGGCCTTCTGGTCCATCAGGCTCCCCCAGTGCTCAGTGCCCAGCCGGGCACAGCGGGCCGCGCTGGGGGTCTGGGCTCTGGCCCGCTGCTGCCCGCTCTGAGCCTCCTGCTTGCCGGAGGCTCGGGAAGTTCCCCCACTTTCTGTCACTCAGCACAGCTGTCTGCGAAAACGTCTGTTCCAGGCACAAAAGGACCGTCCCCATGTTCGTCCCCGAATCTACGTCCAAACTGCAGAAGTTCACCAGGTGAGCTGTCTGGACGGCCCCCGGCCCCTCCTCCTGGCCTAGGAGTGGGGCTGCCCCGTCCTTCTGGGCAAATGGATGCAGGACCCGTGGGGTTGCTAAGGGTCCCTGGGCCCCTTCGGCCACTGTTCCAGCAGCAGAAGACCCTGCACCTTAACTCTGTGCCGGGTTAAGCGCCTGCGTCAGATGGGAATATGCTCGAGACCTGAGGTGACACCGGGAGGATAGGGTACCAGAGGACACAGCCCGCGGAGCCACAGCAGGTCCCCTCCAGCAGGGGGCTGGACGCCTTCACGCGAGAGGTCTCTGAGGTCGGGGCCGGTGCAGCGGAGCTGGAAGAGCGTTCCAGGCACGGGCAGCTCGGTCCAGAGGGGAGCAGCCGGGACGCGGGCGTGGCTCATGGGCCCGACTCAGGGTTGAGGACAGAAGCCCCCTCAGCTCAGCCCAGCCGCCGCCGCTGCCCGGCAGCTTGGCCGGGGCTGGGCTGCGGCCCTGCTTGCGGCCAGGACAAGGGGAGGAAGGAGGCCGACCTGGGCTCCCGGGCAGCAGCCGGCAAGCAGTCCCGCAGGCCTGGCCAGAGTTCTGCTGGTGGAGCGCCAGCGATGGGCCTGGCCACAGGAGGCCTTCTGACTCTGGGGCCTGGGGAGGGGGAGTTCGGGTGCCCGCTGCCCCTACCACGATGGAAGGGCCAGTGTACGCTGGAGGGGACACTGTCCACCACAGGGCTGTCGGGGGCGGGGCAGTGCTTCGCATCAGGTCCCGGAGAGGCTGAGGACTTGGGGGGTCCACGCAGCTGTCCTGACTGGTGTCCACACTGCTCCATGCCCTGTAGCTCCAAGGGAGGGCTTTGGGCCTCCAAGTAAGACCTCCCTGAGGAGAGGGTTCTGCCGCTGAGAAAGTTAGACCTTACAGCTGGCCAGGAAGTTGAGGGTTTGGCTGATGGGTGGGACCTGGGGGCCATCTCCCGCCCTTTGGAGGGGCTCTCGCTGGGGAAGGCAGTTTGATGGACAAAACCTTTGCAGGCAAGGGGTCTGTGGGGCCCTTTGCTCCAGCACAATCCCCCTCTCCCTTCCCTCTGCTCGCCCACTGGCCACCACCTCCTGGCCAACCTCCTCGGCCTGGCTGGCCTGCCCACTTCCTGTGTTGGTTTCCTGTGGCCACTGTAACCAATTACCATGAACTTGGTGGCTTAAAACGACAAAAATCAACTTTCTCACTGTTGGACCTGGCATCCTCGGGGCAGTGATTCACAGCCTCCAATCTAGTCTTTCCATAGCAGTGGAAAGGTGTCCCCAGAACCGCACTTCAGACCTGAGTGCGGCCAAGGCTGAGAGGCCTGTGTGCCGCCGCCCACCTGCGGGGCCTCCCCTGTGCTGAGCAGCAGCATCGCCGCTCGTGCTCAGGATGTGCTGCTTCCTGAGCTCGGTCCTCACCGCGGCCTGGGAAGCAGGTGCCGTGCCGTTGGAGCCCTACCCCCTGGATGGGAAAACGGAGGCGCAGGGAGGCACTGAGTTTCCCCCGGCCCTCCCCACCCCCACCGCCTGCATCCTGAGCCCCCACTCACTGCGTGTCTGGGCCTGCTCTGAGCCAGCCTGAGCAGAGGGGCTGGGCCCTGGGCAGGAGGGGCCTCGCCCAGCCGCTGCCCCCTTGCCTTCGGGCAGCACGGGGAGGACACTCTGTCTGGGCTGGAGGTGCAGACTAGGAGAGGTTAACATCTTCTGGCTGGAGCCCCTGTGGCTCCCTGGGTGACCACTATCACCCGCATTACCCCTGAGAGCACTGGGACTCAGAGATGGGACGCGACTAGAAGTGACTTGTCCTGGGTCCCCCTCTACTGAGAGGAAAATGGAGAGAGCCCAGAGCTAGCTCCTCTGCCACCCCCCACCCAGGATGTTTGTTGGACTCTGGGAAGTGGCCCTCCTTCCCTGGGAAGACAGGGGGTCACTGTCTGGGTCCCCCTTCCCCACCTTGGTGGCCATCACCTTTCTGGGATTTCTGTCAGAGTTGAGGCTGCACCCTCCCAGCCCAGACCTCCCTCAGCTTTCACCCCGTGTGTCAAGCCCCTGGAGGACCGTGATGGGAAAGCATGGTGTCCAGCCAAGAGGAAGGGGGGCAGGAAGCACCGGCTGGTGGAGCCCTGCCAGGCCTCCCTGGCGCCCAGCCTACGGGTTCAGACAGGCAGAGGCGGGTGCGCAAGGGGACCATCCACTCTAGTGTCTGCGACATCCCAGCCCACGCCCTTGCTCACTGGCTCTCCTGTCTTCCCAGCTGGTTCATGGGACGGCGGCCCGAGTACACAGACCCCAAGGTGGTGGCTCAGGGGGAAGGCCGGGAAGGTAAAGTCTGAGCGCCCCTTCCCCCTACCCCCAGGGGGCAGGCTGTACCTGGGAGGGGGCAGTGGGCCCCGAGTCAGACGGGTGAAGGCTGGGGACCCGCCAGCACACGATGCGCAGAGGGTTGGCCTCGTCCGCCTGTCCCCACCGCAGCCCCTTCGCCTCCCAGTGAGGAGCACGGGCCAGCCACCCCCACTTGGCAGGAGAGAACATGGAGGCTGCGGGTTCCCAAAGCAGCCTGGCTGAGTCTTCGCCCTTCTGTCCTCAGTGACCCGCGTCCGCTCCCAGGGCTTCGTCACCCTCCTCTTCAACGTGGTGACCAAGGACATGAGAAAGCTGGGCTATGACACCGGGCCTCCAGACACACAGGGGGTCTCGGGGCACAGCCCGCCCCAGGGCCTCCCCACCTGAAGTCATCGGCCCCCCACTGCCCACTGGGATGGCTGTGCGGTCGCACAGGCCTACGATCATCTGCTTCAAGTGCAGCCGCGGGGTAGAGGGTGGAGAGGGGAGTTTTATGTAATAAAGTGTCACCTTTTCACAGAGCCCAGGCCTGGGACCACTCCTGCTCTCAGCACCACCCACATGAGCCTGGTCTTGCGCTTGGGCCCAAGACAGGTGTGTTGCCCGCTGGTCGTGCCGGCTGTGCTGTGACCGCCAGCCTCCCTTGGCCGGAAGGGCAGCCGGTGCTGGGGGAGAGGCCCCCAGAGCTTTGTGGCAAGTGTCCCAGCAGCGGAGCCCACGACAGGCGCCCTATCTCCTCATGCCCCCACCCGCAGCTCAGGGGAGCCGCCCGCCTGGGACAGTGCCCAGCGCCCCCCCAGCAGGATGCCGAGGCCCCAGCCTTGCCACCACCCACCGCGGCCTCTTGCCAGGACTTGGCTTTAGCCCACTCCCCCTGCAAACCCCTGTGCCCCGTAGCTGTCACAGGGGCTCTGACCCCTGCACCTCCAGCCCCAAAGGCGCCCTCTTAGGGGCACCTCTGCGCCCGCTCAACCTGCCCCCGTGCCAGCCGCGGGGCCTGAGCCCTTGCTCCCTGCCAGCACCTCCCGCGTCCCTGTCCCAGCTCCCTCGGTGCGCAGGCTGTCAGGCCGCGTGGTGTCCACCCGGACTCAACGGTGTGTCTTTCCCTCCAGCTGCCCTGGGCCACATCACCATCCACACAGATGATCCCGCCCATAACCTGGCCTCTCCCTCAGCCCCCAACCTTGTAATGACCTTGACTTGTGTCCCCGACAGCCACCCAGCCCTCCCTGATGTCCAGAGGCTCCTGTGGGCACCAAGACCAGGTCAATGGCCTCGTGAACTGCAAGTCAAGCTGGCTTCTGGGCAGGAACCAGCTCCTTTGCCCACTGTCCTGTGTGTGGGATTGATACGGGTGGGGAAGGACACAACCAGAAACCGCATCATGATACAAATGATAAATTATATTTATACAGTAAATAAGTATCATAGTCAACACAAGTCCAAACCCAGCCACCTGTCCCAGGACTGAGAGAACTGCTGGGCCACGCCTGCACCACCGTGCCGGGTGGCAGGAGCTTGGCGGTCCGCATCCCACACATGGCGGCGCCAGTGGCTCTGTGATCAGTGCAATGGGTGACAGTGACAGGGGCTGGGCCTGTGGAGGAGTGGGGAGTCGGCGTGGGCCCTGGTGGGCTATAACTTCAGGGCCTCAAGGTCATGTTAGGAAGGGTTCTGGACTGTTACGAAGAATCACTGACCCCAGGAGCGAGTGTCCTGGCCCAGCCCCACCCTCCCCCATGGGAGAGGCCAGACCGGCCTCGAATGACTTTGCCCCCGGCCCACCCCATGGCTGGGCGGGAGCTCTGGGCGAGGGCAGCCCCAGGAGCAGCGCGGGAGAGGGGCCTGAGCGGGCAGCTCTGAATCGGCAGCCTGGCATTTCGACATCTCTCCTGTGCCCAGTGCTAAGGGTCAGGCCTCCTGGAACCAGAGAGAGGGGTAGAAGGGGCCCCGCCCCCCCCCCGGACCGGGGACCGGAACCCAACCACGGTGGTTGGGTCGTCCTTCGTCCGTGGTTCCTACGGAGGGTGGCGGTCCGTAACAGAGGAGGAGTAGGAGGACG